TCAAATAGATTTGATTCTAAAATTTCTTTCAAAGAAGAATTCTGCAAAATATAGCTGTCATTATTTCTACCAGGCGATCCAACACTTGTATAAATGAAACGGTATCGACTGTCTACAACGGCAAAAAGTACAATGGAATACCACCCTTTATAATTATAATAAGAAGTTGCTTGATCTTTAGGGGCTGAAATAGGGATGTGGCATCCATCAACAGCTCCAACGCATTGTGGAAAACCAAGAATAGCTACTATGTTTCATAGTAGAGATAAAATCTCTACTATGTTTATTTAAATTTTCCACTGACAATGGAAATTTAACATATTTAGGGAGCAAAATGTCATTAACAGCATTAATAAATTCATGAACAATTAAATTTGCTGTTGACTTTCCTATGCCAAAAAGGCTAGACACAACACGATATTCTTCACATGAAGCTAGATAATGTAATGCAACTGCAACACGTTTTACTACTGAAATAGGTTCTCGCATAGTTGTGGTAGTTTGCCTAAATGTGGATGCAATTCATTAACTAGGAAATTAAATGTGTTACGATTTACTCGAAAATGCTCTTTAAAATCACATTCCTCCATTTGAGTAAAAATCTCATTAAACCATTGAGAACTTTTTGGCCTAACCCAAACTTTTCTTTCAATCAGATACCCTTGTTGATTTAACTTAAAGGAAGCTAAATCTAAATATGAAAATGGGTGGGTGATTGATTCATCATTGATTAATGTTCTTCTTCTTAATCGAAGTACGGCCAAAACGCTTTCCATGTTTTTCCAATAGCTTTTTCCTTTACCGATGTCTCCCTAAAAAACTATTAAAACTATATAAATATATTAAATAAATATAATACTTATTATATTACAATTCAAGGGAAATTAAAACACATTTTTAAAAACCATTTTGTTAGAATTGATACAGCATGATCTGTTAACAAAAACAAAAATGAAACGTGTAATGCAACTTGTATAAATTAAAAACAAAACACGTTGGCAAAAAACATATCACTATAATTTATCTACAGGCTTGCTTCATATTGCAAAAAAAAAATTATTTGGTAAAAATACTTAATATATATAGCATAGAGATACAAGAAAAGGTATTTATAAAATAACATGACAAATTTAAAAAATACCACCAGATATGCATTTTAATGCTTGAAATCACAAAATATTTTTATTTTATATAAAGTAAAAATTCCTTTGATAATAGTAATATGGTAACATGAAAAAATATATATAAGTAGAGCTTCATCTACAAGCTTGTACAATATTTCACTAACCATCTCTTTAGTTAAAACATTGAAAAACCTTATGAAATATATATTGCATAGAATTGTAAACAAGGTATACTGTTGAAAAAATACTGACCTTTCAACTTTAATATAATTACTAAAAAGATATCTTGACTAATAGAACACCTTATTTTTTTATTAAAAATTTATAATATTTTACTTGGGCTTTAGACACATCTACTTGGGCTTTAGGTGCATTTTCAATTGCATCGCAAATACGCTCTAAAGCAACAACCTCTCTGATTCGTAGCTCTTGTGAACGGATTTGAACATCTAGATTTTTATTTGCTATTTTTAAATATTCAGAAAAAAAATTTGTTTTTTTATTTTTTCTCACCGGTTCAGTTTTTGCTATTTTATTCAAAGTTTTTTCATCATCAGAGCTCCTCCGTTTATTGCAGCCGGATGTAGATTGAGTTGGTTCCTCATCAGGAATAGTGACAATTGATTGCACATCGCTTGCATCATCCAAAGCTTCAGTATTTAAAATACTGACAGTCTCCTTGCCATCTTCCATTGTGGCAACCTGTAAATAAAATATACACATTAAAAAAATTACACATTTGAGAAATGATTATAAATCATGTTTCAATCAAAATTTATCTCTTGACTTTGAAAGACTTGACTTGAAGTCATTTTACTCCCTTCCTTCCCTAAACAAAAAGGATCTATTTAGACAATAGCATTTTACAAATATCCCTTTTATAATTCAAAAACTTTATATTATATTTTTTTGATCTTTATGTTTTAAGTCTGCCAAATGTTGCAAAACTAAGAACCTCTTAAACCTTATTTTTTAGAAATAGTTAACATGCTTGTTTACATTACTTTAAAAATATATAGCACTTTAAAAAATACAACAATAAATTATACTAAACTTACCTGACCATCTTGAAAATCTTGAGTAGAAAAGTTTTGACTTTGAGATAAAAGGTCATTGTCAAGGGAAGCTTCGCCACCTATTATTTTGGCAACAATATCGTAAGGCCACCATTTACTAGGAGCTCCTCCCGATGAACCAACTTGAAGTTTTTCTCGTCTATGAAAAATATACATAAATATAAGTAAATATAAGCACATCATTGACACCGTATAACATTAATCAAATAACTTTAAATGGACAAATTATTATTAACGAAATAATTATTAACAAAATTAACGAATTATTAACGAATAATAAAATAACAAAATATTAACAAAATAATTATCAACGAGCTGTAAATCTTTAATACTGAATAAGATTTAAGTAATTTTTAATATAACACTCAGTTACAAACTAAATTGCAATTAGATATTATTACACATGGTTAGTTTTGTAAAATACTTTCAGTATTTCAGTAAGGTATCAAACATTAAAAGTAGAATATGTACATACCTAAATTGTTTCCTCAAATTTCTAATTTTAGATTGAATTTGATATCCAGTTAACGGAGGTACGATATTAAATGTGTTTGAAAATTCAGCTGCCATTTGTTTGTAAATATTTGTGTTTCTTCTTGCAGATGTTAATGCATTGTAATTATCTTTCCATAAATCTAATAATACTCTTGTGTTAGCCATATTCCATACAAATTTATTTAAAGGAGATGTGCAAAGACCAATATTTGTTGTGCTAGCGTCAATACACTCTTTTTCTGAATGCTGAGACATTGTCTAAAATTAAAGTTATACCTACTAAAAAGGATAAGTACATTGAATCTTGCAACAATAACAACAACAACAACAAAAAGAAGAGAAATAGTTAATAATAAAATTAAAGGTTAAACTTCATAATTGCTATAAATGTTATGGGCTTAAAATAATTTAATAATGTTATGGGCTTACTAAATAATTTAATAATTTGCCAAAAACTGGTAGCCAAGAGAACAGAAACTTTCAGATGCTACTTTTACTTTTTTTTACTTTTCCATGCAATGTGATAATTATGTTATTTAATAACATTGATCTTTCAACACTATTGTTTATTTTTATTTTTAAATGTCAATAATTGTAGTACATTTTGGCAAAGATATAAGGTACAGTCATATCAATACAGTCAATCAATAATATATATTCTGAATAATGGTCTTACTTTCACAATTATTCACAAACAGTAAAATAACTAATATTAAGTAAATACAGAATATTTATGAGGAAAATACTAATGGTAATGTTCACAAATTAAAATAACAAGATAAGACAAAGCTAATATAATAAAATATATATGACATATAAATAAAATATATGACAAAACTCATATATAACAATATATACCAATAATAATATTATTAATAATATTAATATAAATAATAATAACAAAGATGATAATAATGATAATAATATTAACAATTGTTATTGTTGTTATTTTTATCATTATTATTACTATTATTATTCTATTATTACAATTATTATAATAATAATAATGTTTATTTATATTATTATTATCACTGTTGGCAAGGCCAATCATAAACAACTCTGGTTATTAGTTCAAAGTTGAATTTTATAAATAAAATTACTATAAGTTTATTAAAAAATGCATTAAAAGCAATTCTTGCAAAGAATATAATTAAATAAAAACTATTAAACAATGAAAATTAAACTTTCTTAACGCAAGTTAAATGTTACCTTGAATTATACTTCTTGTTAATTCAAATTAAAACTGATTTTAATAAGAATAATACTGTCTTTGTAATGTTATATTTTAAAATTACGTTTTTAAACACACATATATACTTCTTTTTAAATTAATAATACACTAATAATTAAATTTCTATTTTATTTATACAAATTTTAAATATCGTTAAAAATAACTTGAAATTTGTGATGGTCAAATAATTGTTTTTAAATAATTGCCCACCATCTGGTCTACTCATGATTGATCCCACACTAGTGGGATCGGAATTTCCTTGGTTGCATGAAATTACCACAAGTTTTTACTCAATGAATAAAGATATGAAATTATATTCAAAGAAATGTTTTGAATTCAATAAAAAAGATAGAAGGCAAAAACTAAAAGTTTCAAGGCAACATGTTGAAAGGCAAATAGTATATCGATAATCTTGTCTTGATATATGACCAAGACCTAGGACAATGCAGAGATCAAGGACTAAAAACTCTGGTTAAGATGACAACAACTTTGTAAAAAAAATAGTTTGAGTTACTTTTACAACAAATTTGCATCTTGCAATGTATTTTTATTGAATCATTTAGCTTATATGCATACGCTTATTTTAAAAATAGTTGAAAATAGGCACCATTTTTTATACAAAACCAAATAAATGTTCCGGAACATTTATTTGTTTTGGGTTGGCGGATGGTACAAAAGTTCCTCAAATGTTCCTTGAATTTTTGTTCCGTTTGCGTTCACACGAGAGGATATTTGTTCATGTTCCATGTTCCACGGAATGTTCCATCAAATGTACCCTCGTGTGAACAGCCTATAACAGAACTTTGCTACCATTTTCACTAGGTTGACTCTATTTAAAAAAAAACTGTAATATAACAAGTTCACATTCATTTTTAATGATTATAAAATTTTTTGTTTGATTGTATTTTCCTGTATATATAATCGATTTAATGAATAATTAATAAAAAAATTATCAATTTTTGCTTTTTTAATATTTTTTGATCATAAATTATATAACAATATACACCTGCAGTTACTATTACGTACATTGTATTATTAAAAACATAAGATACTCTATATTTACATTTATTTTCAATGTTGCGTATCATTTTGAAACTAAGTTTTGTTTAAATTAAAATTATCATCATGCAATAGGTCCTACTATGCCTTTGAAATAGTTAAGAAGAACGTCAACCAAAATCTCAGGAAACATTTTACGTATTTGTGTTTATATTATTATATTTTAACATAAATAATCTTTGAAAAACCCTTGCTAATATAATTTTTTTAGTTTTTTTAAAATTTACTTTTTTCAAAATTAAATTTTTTAAATAATTAGTTACAAAGAATAACTTTTTTTAGGAAAAATGAAAGAAGATTTATGCCCAATTGAACCCTTTATTCCAACATATTTGACAATGGCTGGATACACAAATGCCTTTCCTACACCTTTGTTCTTTGGCAATATCTGGTCAAAAGGAAAATGGACTTGTTTTTGTACAATTTTCACAATTCTGATGCTTCTTGGAGTTTTCATCTTTGGAAATGTATTTGTGTTTAAAAACTACAAATACAGATATTTATGTGATAAAAGTGCATACTATTTAGCATTTTGGAACATTATTGTGACGTATATCTTTATCCTATTAAGTTTTTGTTGCGGTTGTTGTGCAGTTGCATCTAAAGAACCCTAACTTTTGAAATTTTGTTTATAATAATTGTATAAACTAAATACCTTTCACATTGCAAAGTTTATTTAATTATGGATAACTCTAAAAACATCTTTTTCCCTAACCGTTACCCTAACCCTGACGGTTTTTATGTTTAGGCTAATAAATTTGTAATTTTTTGGTTGCCTGCTTTCACTAAAAATTTTTTGCATTTGCAGGGTTAGGGTAAGGGTTAGGGTTAGGGGTTAAAGTTAGGGTCAGGTTAGGGGTTAAAATTAGGGTCAAAAAAAATTCAAATGCCTCTATTGCTGTCAAAAACATGCAATCCACTGGTAAAAGGTTCTGATGGTAAGAATTTTTTTTCAGAAACTTTTTACTATGACAGCAATTGTTAACTAAAAAAAAGTTTGCAAGAAGAAAAATTTGCAATCAAAGTTAAAATATAAAACTTATTAACATGTATCTGGTCACGTGATCGGAGCAAGATGACTTACTACGCTTTTTTTTTTGTCTCCAAATCATAGACAATATTTAATAACTTTTTTAAGAGTTTTTTGCTATGGATTGTGGGATCGCCTAAAGATAGCAAAGTATTAAAATCAAATTTCGCATTACAATTTTATGTAGCTTATGTTTAATGTAGTTCTTATTCATTTAAACTTTTAAAATTTATTTATTGATTTAAAGACAGAGTGTTTTGAAGATGACTGGGAAAATTTGGTAAAGGTTATAATGAATAAGTTTTCTGCAAAAGATTTAAAACTTGATAACAATAATATAATATAAACTTTTCTAAATGGACTTTTAAGTTTTAATTCGGTATTCTCTAATGCTTGTTATTTGTTTAATTTTACTCAAGTATAACGTAAGATGATTAAAGTTGATAACTTTTACCCTGTTGATAACTATAAGAATCAGGTACTTAATTATAATAATGTAATCTAATCAAGTTTTTAAATAATATATTTCTAATAAAAATTAATAAAATTTTTTAGCCAAATAACATTAAAGTATTGGAAACCTTTGTTCCATCAAAACCAATCAGTTAAGTTGATGATTCTTTTTCAATCAATCACATACAAGTTTGATGCTGAAATTAATAAACAGAGCAAGAAAGAACAAATACACCTCAATCCCCTACCTACCACACAAATATATACAGCCCTCGGATTTAGGGTCGGCATTCGGTAATGCCGACCTAAAAGTGTTTGAGGCCGGCAAAAAATTGCCGAACCCGTTTCTTTATTTTATGATTAGACCTTTTTATCAAATTTTTCTGCCGACCTCTAAAAGATTGAGGTCGACAATTAATTGCCTACCTCATTTTTTCTAATTCCGAAGGTTGTGTGTGTGTGTGTGTGTGTATATATATATATATATATATATATATACTCGCTTCTCCGCGCAGCGGCCTTGTTCGTCAAGGTTCGTGTTTCGGAGTTATAGAGTTGAGAGAGGGTTATAGCCACAAATAAGTATCCTCCTCGTCTGTAGTGGCCTTCTCGGCCTTGAGGAGGTGAATTAAAATAAAAAAAATAAAAAAAAAAAATAAATATATATATGTATATATATATATATATATATATATATATATAAATATATATATATATATATATATATATATATATATATATATATATATATATATATATATATATTAGGGTAGGTCAAAAAAAATTTTTTTCTTGTTACAGGCTCTGCTAATAGTTATTAATATTGATACTATCGAATATGAGAATGTGATAGATTTAAAGGGCGCAACTTTATTGGGAAAATTACCGGTACCCTAATATTTTAGGAAAAAAAAGATTTTCAAAAGTAGGTCAACCTGGTACTCAAAAGAAGCGAAATTTTATAAAAAATTCGAAAATAATAACCGTTTTATAAAAATCATTGTGCTGAAAAAAATTGTTATTTAAAAACATGTAAAAATGCACCTTTTTCACTTTTAGTTAAAAAACAATAGTTATTATGCAATAAAATCTAAAATAATATTTTTTATATAAAAAAATTATTATTTTCGAAATTTTTATAAAATTTCGCTTTAATTGAGTACCTACATCACTTAATTTTAAAAAACTTTTTTTGAATAATTAAAGAGCCTGCTAACTTTGGTAATTATAGTTGCGGGTGGAAGACATTGTTCAATCCATAAAAGTAAATACTTTCCTAAATTAGTACATAAAAAAACAACTTTCTAGCAATGTTTAAAGCCTGTAATAAGAAAAAAAAAATTTATGACCCACCCTATCATATATATATATATATATATATATATATATATATATATATATATATATATATATATATATATATATATATATATATATATATATATATATATATATATATATACATATATATATATATATATATATATATATATATATATATATATATATATATATATATATATATATATATATATATGTATGTATGTATATAACTTTATTTTTCTTTTACAATTTTTTTCTTTTCTCAAATTATCAAGTAGCACTGTAATGTAAAAAAAAAAGAAAATAAAAAAAAACATAACCTTTAAACATAACCATGAACAATAAAAAATTGAGCTGTCTTTGTTGTGTTTTTTCTGAAGCCATGGGCACGTCACCTAAAAATCCGTTATTATTTTTTTAAAACTTTACAAAAAAAAATTTCAAAAATGTTATTTATTAAAATAAACTTGTTGATAGAATTTAACCTACCAAAGTTGTTAAGTTTCATCTTGTACACTTGAAATTTATTTTTAGTCTATAATTACTATAGTAGTTAGCCATTGGTATTTATTGTCTATGAAAGATATGTAACTGATTTACAAAACAATTCCGATAATAATTAAATAATTACAACACAAAATAAGTTTTACAACTATTTTTTTAAGGCGTTAATTTTTTAAAATAAACTTAAAAGAAAACTAAAGAATGCTAATAAAATAGTTCAAGAAAATAGTCTTAAAACAAAACTAAAATATGGTAACAAAAATGATGGAAGTAAACACTCTCAAATCAAAATAAAAAATGGCAACAAAAATAGTCTAAGAAAATAATCTTATAGAAAAACTTAATGTGGTAACAAAAATAGCTCATGAAAATAATCTTAAAAACAAAACTAAATAACACTAACAAAACAACACAACCGTTTTTCAAAACGCCTTTCGGTAAGTTGACTTATTTAAAAAATAAGCTAATTTTGCCTAAAAACGTTATTAAATAAATATTTTTGAAGAATTATAAAGAAATTCTTAAAATTTATTAGTTTCAAGCTACAAGCTTTAAAAAAAAGTTTTTAATTTTAAAAAAAAGTTTTAATTGGGTTTTTCTAAAAATAAGTAAAAAGCAAGGTGTTTTGAAAAACAGCTGTAGAGTATTTCACGAAAATAAAAAAATCTCAAAACATAACTAGAAAACAATAGTAAAGATAATCTTAAATCAAAACTAAAAAATGCTAACGAAATTAACTCGTGAAAATAACATCAAAACAAAACTAAAAAATGCTAAAGAAAATAACTCGTGAAAATAACATCAAAACAAAACTAAAAAATGCTAAAAAGATTATTTTATGAAAATAACCTCAAAACAAAACTTAAAAAATGGAAACAAAAATAGTTAAAAATAATAATCTTAAAACAAAACTAAAAAATGCTACAAAAATAATTCAAAAAAATCATCTCAAAATCAAACTAAAAATCGCTAACCAATGACAAAAAAAAAAGGAAAACTAAAAACGCAAGCAAAAATATTTTCTTCTCGACAATTAAAACTGTAGCAACTAAAGCAAAAAAACTAAGCTAAAATTCACTGAATAACAAAGTAATAAAATCTCTAATACTCAATAAATGTTGGTTTTAAAATAGAGCTTTCTTGGCTTTCAAGTTTTTTTTGCGGGAAACAACATGACTTTTTTCATACCTCACTTTTGCTACTAACTGAGCAGAGGTGTAGCTTTCAATTATCTCTTTAGTTCCTAGGTTACTTTTTAATGTTTCCATAACCTTTTCTTCAGAAATAATTGACTTACCTGCAATTTCAGATGCAAATAAAAAATTTATAAGGTCTGTTTCATCATTTGAAAAAAAAATCTTTTGTTTAATAGAATCTGACTCTGTAATATTAAGAAGTTGCTTTTTTGCCATATGATGGAGCTTGTCATAAATCTGTTTTGTTGAACGAAGATTCAGAATATTACTGGATTGTACAGTTTCACGTATAACTTGTTGTGAAATTGTTGATAAATCAAAATTACCAAACAATAATGATAACTCTTCTTTTTCATTTTCTTGCCATGGCCTACTTTTTGTAGGAGGAATAACTTCAAGATTTTCAGGATCAAAATCGCTTTCACTTGCAGAACTGGTATTTAGACGTTTCCTAGATGTTCTTAAGTTATATTCTTTTTCCCCTTTTAATTGACCTTTATTATCATCTTGATAAGCGTCATTTGTGGATAAATATTTTGAACATGTTGGGGATAAGTCAAACAAAAGTTTTGTGACTTGTTCTGAAGTTTTGCATGTTTTTTTTATTTTATCATTCAAATAGTACCACCTCTCTCCTGTTTCTGGTTTATGTTTCATTAGAGAAGCAAGAACTGACTTCATTTCTGGATGGTTATTATAAATAAATGTGAGGAAATTTTTACGAATCAATATTGCACATGTATTCCTTTCATTATCTTTATCGGGCAAACATTTAAAAAAAAAAGAGTTTAACTGCTTAGAGATATCTCCTGAACTTAGTTCACATCCAGACCAAGTTATGAAAAAATTATCAGCTTTTTTACCTGGCACAGCTTTTCTTAAAATGTTATGGTAGCAGTCACATAAATACTTTAAGTCTGGATTAATAATTAGTTGACATGGACCATACTTCCGTCCAGTTTTATGTTTATTTACCAACACAATATAGCTGCCTGTAAGAGAATAACTACCTTTAATATATTCATCAGTTTTAAAATTAGCAATAGCACCAGATCTAGAAATGTTATTAGTTATTAAAGAAAAACATATGGAGTCTCGTACATTTGTAAAGGTTGCACGATTACAAATGTAATCATCTGGTTTGTCATTAAATGTTTTT